CTTCCTCCCTTCTCTTCCTCCCTTCACCTGTCTCCTCGTCCTCTTGTCTTCCTCTCCTCCCTTCTCTTCCTCCCTTCACCTGTCTCCTCGTCCTCTTACTTGTCTTCCTCTCCTCACCTTTCTCTTCGTCTTCTTACTTGTCTTCGTCTCCTCACCCGTCTCTTCCTCTGTGTTTCAGATTCAGACCATCAAACAGTCAAACAGCTGTCTGAAGGAGAAAATCAGTTCAGGAGTTGACGAGTTCCGACAACCTGAGGTAAACACAGCAATACGGCAACACATAGCTACTAGTGTCTGTTGCTGTTGCTTATTGTCTGTTGCTGGTTGCCTGTAAGTTTTGCTGGTTGCCTGTCGGTGTTGCTTGTTTGTTGCTGGTTGCCTGTTGATGTTGCTTGTTGTCTGTTGCTGGTTGCCTGTTGATGTTTGTGTTGCCGTAGTTGCTGATCTTTGTTTCTGTTCTTTGTTTTAGGTGAATCAGAAGTTCAACACTCGTTGGACCACAGAGGAGCAGCTGCTCGCTGTACAAGGTAACACCTGAACTACCTGTAACCAGGTAAACTGACAAACACCTGGATTACTTTAATTAAACCTTTCATGCTCTTGTCCAATGACACGCAGCCATCAGGAAGTATGGGCGGGACTTCCAGGCGATCTCAGATGTGATTGGTAACAAGTCGGTGGTTCAGGTGAAGAACTTCCTGGTGAACTACAGACGGAGGTTTAACCTGGACGAGGTTCTTCAGGAGTGGGAGGCCGAGCACGGGATGGAGGGGGGACATGGGGGGGGAGGAGAGGAGGACAAGATGGAGGTGTGTCCTGCTGAGGAGGAGGAGGAGGCCACTGCTAAGGAGACAAAGGAGGTGAGGAGAAGTTTTCATGGTTACTACAAATCCCAGAATCCTCACTGTCTGCACGAAACTTTACACAAAATTCAGGCGCGGTGGAAATTTAAAGTTTACATGTTTTCAGTCGTGGGCGTGGCTAAATGTCTCGCTAGCGCCCCCTATAAAGCGTCCCCCGGGCCACAGAGTCCCGCCCTGAACACATCTAAATGCCAAACGACCTTCACATCATAGCGCCGGACGCGGCGCCTGCAGCCGCCTTGCTACCGTGAGGTTTTAATGTCATGTGACATCATGTTTCTAACCAGCATGCCTCATTTTAAGTCAAGCATGCATCACGCTAAGTCAGCGCTGCGCAGCACCGCATTAAGTCAGACACACCTACTGTATAAACAGGCTAATATTCACTCATACTCAGAGCGCCACCCACTGGCAACAGGAAATTACTCTTAAACAAAGCAGCCCCCCCGGGGCTCGTTTCACCAAGACGCACAAAAAAGCCTCTTGGAGCCATAACCTAAACCCAACAGGAAGTCGGCCATTTTGATTTGAAAGTGCAGTTTTTAGCTATTTACAGGATCCATACTTTAACGAGCTCCTCCTACAGAATTAACCCGATCCAGCTCAGAGTTTTGCTCTGCGTTCTAAAGGCATTGACATTCAAAAGTTGTGCTATCTGTGAGTTTTCGTCAAACGGCGTGTCCGTGGCGTGGCGTCAACAATCAATGATTTGCCATGAAACAGGAAGTTGTTGTAACTTCAGTGTACATGCTCACATCTGCACCAAACTTTACATGGTGGTAAGTGTGTCCTGTGGCTTTGCTGTAACCACTGTGTCTCTCCGCTGCAGGACTCGGCCTCCCCGCTGGACTCCCAGAAGCCCCAGGCCTCCTGAGACGCTCTGACCCTGTCCCTCTGGTGTTGTCATTATGTGCTTTATTTTATGTTATTTTATTTTCTCAGTTTATCAGTTAGTATGTTGGAATTTTATTGATCAGGTATGAGGTTTGTGTCTTGACTGACATCACTGCTCTCTCTGGACCAATCAGAAATCAGACCTCACCTGTCAATCGAAGTGGATGGGACCTACTTTTTTATTTCTCCTTGAAGGTTTTATGTTTTAATCTGTTTATATTTCTTCTTTCTTTCTCTGTGCGTGTCGGGGGGGGGGGGTGAAGCAGCCATGTAGGATGATGTCACTCAGTTAGGAGGCGTGTCCTGTCCTGATGATGTCATCCTGTTTTGGGGATTTTAGGATATTTTAGACGAGTGACAATAAAACCAAAGTTCATCAATAAATGAATTTTTCTTCTTCTTCAGTTTCTTCTTTTTATTTTTTATTTTTTTAACGTTCAAACATGAAATGAATCAATATGAAGACGAGGAGACACACAAACTCATCAGGTCGGTGGTTCGATCCCCGGCTCCTCCAGGCTGCGTGTGGAGTCGTCCCTGAGCAAGAGTCCACATGGATCCAGACGGCTGTCTGTGATTCGTTCCTGTTCTGACGAGCAGCCGTCAGTGTGACATGTACACGCAGTATAAAGTACTCCGTGTATCCTTTAGACTCTGAAGCTGCTTTTATCAAACACAGAAACTGAGGCGTGTTTCCACTTTAATGGATTTCATCACCTGCTGGTCACAGAAGGTTTTAGCGATTTCAATATTTCATATTTACCAAGTTTCATTTGATGCAGTAAACAACCAGCAGTCAGGCAGGAAGGAGCAGAGGAAACACTTCCACACTGATCTCCAACAGCTGATATACAAATTCATCTTTGAATGATTTGAACCTTTGTGTAAAAGCATCTTTATGTAATAATTCCTGACGTTCTTCTAAATAATTGTTTCAGAGGCTGTACGTCACTGACGGGATTCATTGTTCCTTATTTAAACGTGTTGTGATCTGCAGACATGAATGAGCTGCTGCTGGTTGTCTCCGTTTGTCTCGTGTGAGCTATAAATAAAGTTGTGTTACTGTAAATAAAACATTCACTGATTAATAGATTTTTCTCCCTTAAGACAAAGAGCTTTAATTATGTCTTGAAATTTATTTATTGTGTCTGAAGCAGAATTCACGCGTTGTATCATTTCCAGAACTGCAACAGCTGATTTTCCCAGTTTATTGATTTACTTATTATATTTATTAATTTAGCTGACAAAGTGACTTACAGCTGCTGTATCTGTCAGAGGTCAGAGGTCGCACACCTCTGGAGCAATGAGGAGTCAAGTGTCTCGCTCAGGAACACATTGGAGTCTCACAGTAGATTCGAACCCGCGTCTCTCACACCAGAGGCATGTGTCTTGTCCACTGGACCATCACCACCAGCACTTTCCTACGTCTTCTCTAAAAGTTTACAGTTTGTTTAGGTGTAAAGCACTTTGTTACCTGTGACAAATAAATCCTTTTCATTTCTAAATGGCTCCTAGTTCATATTTTAAATCACATGTATTTTATATTTTTCATTACTGAGGAGAACAAAGAGGCCGGCAGGCGGGAACAGCGCCCCCGGGTGGCGGGCCTGTCCCCGGGCAGCTGGGGGATTTCCTGGGCGGAAGCAGCGGAGGGGGTTTCCAGTGTGATCAGCCCAGTCCTCCCCGTTGGATCTCTGAACTGGATCCCGGTGGCTTTTCTATCTCATACACACACACACGCAGGACCGACAGACCCAGGAGAGCCCGCAGAACCCTGAGCCTGAACCTGGACCATGAGGAGTCGGCCCGAGGCACGGAGGCTCCGAGGCAGCGGCAGGTTGACGGTTTGAATCCCGGAGAGAGTCCGCCGAGGAGCTGCTGGAGGAGCCGCCGAGCCGAGCTGTGGCCTGCGGAGGAGATTCATGTGAGTCCGGGACGGTAGAACCTCAGTAGAACCTCAGTGGAACCTCAGTGGAACCTGACAGAAGCTGTTAGAAGCGGAGAACATGTTAGCTGTGTGTGTTAGCTCCGTGGATGCTACAGCTAGCTCTGTGTGTGTGTGTGTGTGTGTGTGTGTGTGTGTGTGTGTGTGTGTGTGTGTGAGAGAAATGAAAATGATCTTTATTGAACAAACAGCAGAGAAACAAGGAGCTAAAGCGGCTAACAGCCCGTTAGCATGACTCCACAGGTCAGTGACTCAGAGGAGCAACGAGGACTAAATAAATGATCCATCAGTGAAGAATCAATCAGCTAAATGTGATTAGAAAGGTTCAGTCTCAGAAGCAGGTGGAAAAATCAGTTTTATTATTTGAATCTGCAGCCTGACATCAGCTCCCACACAACAGCAACACTAAACACAGCCTCCTGTTATACTTCAGATGTGTACAAATACTACAGCACACAGATATTTCAGTTCTTGATTCGTTCTTCGGTTTAATTAATGGATTAGTTCACTGATTAAGAGGCAGCTGTTCTGATAATCAGTGGATTGTTAGCTGTTTCCAGAGGTGAATATTTTCTGTGATGGACTATTGATCCAGAAGCTGCAGACACAAAGTGACGTCTGATCAGCTGATCAAGACATCACGTTCTCTCAAAGAGGAAAAATCATCATGTGTTTGTGGAACATTTAGCTGCTGATTTAGAAAATAGATTCTTAGATTTATTGGTATTGATCTATTGATCCTTTCACCTGAGAAACGTCGTCAGACAGTAAAAAATGTGCAGGGCGTCTGCAGACAGACGTTTACAAAGTGACTTTAATGATCAGTGGATTAGTGAGATGATGACACCTGATATTTAATCCAACCGTCATGTGTTCACATGTAAAACACATAAAGTACGTGTCAGAATACTGAAGTGCAGTAAAATTATCAAGTAGTAGGAAATACTTTATATAGTACTTTTCTGAGGTGCGTGTACTCTGCCAGAACAAGTACGTCTGTAGCTGTGTTGTTACATCATATTATTGATAATCAGAGTGTTTACATGATCAGTTTTCCCGGATCAATGCGTTTACCGTGACGACCTTTGACCTGATGAAACAGACACACAGTTCTTTCACAGTAAAACTCTTCCAGATGTTAAATCATCGATCGAAGTAGCTGCTTGATCAGTTCTCCTTGAATGACTGATGGTTTATACAAAAAGCAGACAACCAGCTGGACTACATTACCCAGAATCCCCCGCACAGAGGCTGACGCCGCGCTGCAGTTGAAGTTGGAATTTCTGAGTTCTATGTCGGACATTTAAACCGGAACGCCCCCTGAAGTCGGGTTTCTGACTAGAAAGTCTGGAGTGTAGGTACCCACTCTGTGCTGCCTGCCGGATCCCTATGTGTCTGAAGGACGTTTCCACAAATGTGCCTGTTCATAATTACTCCTGTGTTGCTGTCTGTTCTCATCTCAGGGCGTCAAATACTGACGCTTTCAGAAAGGCTGACAAAGCGTTATTTGATGCCAGAGCTACCCTTCAGCGTCCGGATGAGACGCCCTGTCTAGACCGGAAGCGCTAGTAGCTAGCTAGGTAGCTAGCTATGTTTAAGGCGTTGACAGCTTCCCAAAGCCCCTCCCCCTAACCCTAAGCATCACAGGGGGGTGGGCCTAAACCTGAGTCAGCGACTGTCTGCACGTCGACCGGCTAACCCTACAGCTGTGCAGCCGTCGCTAGCAGCTAGTGTTAGCCTCCTTTGTTAGAAATGAAAAACGTCCTGCTGAATCAGGTTTTTCATTTCTAAAGTATTTTCCTGTTAATCACAGTGAACAGTTTCATCTCCAGAGATTGAAAAACACTTTATCTTGATTTGAAAGATTTAGTTGGATCATTTTGAGCAGGCAGAGCTGCAGTGACCTTCTTTGACTGACAGAACCTGCAGAGCGGATCCGGCAGGCGGTGCAGATTGGGCACTGACAGGGAGAACCTCAAAATCCAAGATGTCTGCTCGGAGCATGAGCAGAGTGACTTCCTGTTTCTCTCCTGCCTCTGTTCTGTCTCATTACATCAGCCGGACTCACAGAACTGTCCAGCTGGTCTCTGTGGACGTGTCGCTGCGCTGGCTGTCTGTGGTGGTAATGCTAACAATGGCCAGAGGCGTCCATCTTGGTTTACCGACTTAAGGTGTGCTGTGGTCCTGGAGCGCCGTCGACTCGGCCATGAAGGCATTCCCAACTCTGACCTCCAACCTCCGAGGTAACTGGAACACAGCAACAGAAACAGGAAGGAGCAAGGAGGCCCCTGGGTCTCCTCTGCGACGTCTCCTCGGTAGAGTGTCCGAGTGTCCAAGTGTTAGTGTGTTAGTGTCCGAGTGTTAGTGTCTGTGCATTAGTGTCAGTGTTAGTGTCCGTGTGTTAGTGTCCGTGTGTTAGTGTGTTAGTGTCCGTGTGTTAGTGTCCGAGTGTTAGTGTGTTAGTGTCTGTGCATTAGTGTCCGTGTGTTAGTGTGTTAGTGTCCGTCTATTAGTGTCCGTGTGTTAGTGTCCGTGTGTCAGTGTGTTAGTGTCCGTCTCTTAGTGTCCGTGTGTCAGTGTGTTAGTGTCCGTCTCTTAGTGTCCGAGTGTCCGTGTGTTAGTGTCCGTGTGTTAGTGTCCGTGTGTCCGTGTGTTAGTGTGTTAGTGTCCGTGTTAGTGTCCGTGTGTTAGTGTCCGTGTGTCCGTGTGTTAGTGTGTTAGTGTCCGTGTGTCCGTGTCTTAGTGCGTTAGTGTCCGTCTCTTAGTGTCCGTGTGTTAGTGTCCGTGTGTTAGTGTCCGTGTGTCCGTGTGTTAGTGTGTTATTGTCCGTGTGTCCATGTGTTAGTGTCCGTGGGTTAGTGTCCGTGTGTTAGTGTGTTAGTGTCCGTGTGTTAGTGTCCGTGTGTTAGTGTGTTAGTGTCCGTGTGTTAGTGTCCGTGTCTTAGTGTCCGTGTCTTAGTGTCCGTGTCTTAGTGTGTTAGTGTCTGTGTCTTAGTGTCCGTGTCTTAGTGTGTTAGTGTCCGTGTGTTAGTGTGTTAGTGTCTGTGCGTTAGTGTCCGTGTCTTAGTGTCCGAGTGTTAGTGTGTTAGTGTGTTAGTGTCCGTGTGTTAGTGTGTTAGTGTCCGAGTGTTAGTGTCTGTGCGTTAGTGTCCGTGTCTTAGTGTCCGAGTGTTAGAGTGTTAGTGTGTTAGTGTCCGTCTCTTAGTGTCCGAGTGTCCGTGTGTTAGTGTGTTAGTGTCCGTCTCTTAGTGTCCGTGTGTTAGTGTCCGAGTGTTAGTGTGTTAGTGTCCGTGTGTTAGTGTGTTAGTGTCCGTGTGTTAGTGTGTTAGTGTCCGTGTGTTAGTGTCCGTATGTCCGTGTGTTAGTGTCCGTGGGTTAGTGTGTTAGTGTGTTAGTGTCCGTGTGTTAGTGTCCGTATGTCCGTGTGTTAGTGTGTTAGTGTCCGTGGGTTAGTGTGTTAGTGTCCGTCTCTTAGTGTCCGTGTGTCAGTGTGTTAGTGTCCGTCTCTTAGTGTCCGAGTGTTAGTGTCCGTGTGTTAGTGTGTTAGTGTCCGAGTGTTAGTGTCCGAGTGTTAGTGTCCGTGTGTTAGTGTGTTAGTGTCCGTGTGTTAGTGTGTTAGTGTCCGTGTGTTAGTGTCCGAGTGTTAGTGTGTTAGTGTCCGAGTGTTAGTGTGTCAGTGTCCGAGTGTTAGTGTCCGAGTGTTAGTGTCCGAGTGTTAGTGTCTGTGCGTTAGTGTCCGTGTGTTAGTGTCTTAGTGTCCGTGTCTTAGTGTCCGTGTCTTAGTGTCCGTGTGTTAGTGTCCGTGGGTTAGTGTCCGTGTGTTAGTGTCCGTGTGTCCGTGTGTTTGTGTTAGTGTCCGTGTGTCAGTGTGTTAGTGTGTTAGTGTCCGTGTGTTAGTGTCCGTGCGTTAGTGTGTTAGTGTCCGTGGGTTAGTGTCCGTGTGTTAGTGTCCGTGTGTCCGTGTGTTTGTGTTAGTGTCCGTGTCAGTGTGTCAGTGTGTTAGTGTGTTAGTGTCCGTGTCTTAGTGTCCGTGTGTTAGTGTGTTAGTGTCCGTGGGTTAGTGTCCGTGTGTTAGTGTCCGTGTGTCCGTGTGTTTGTGTTAGTGTCCGTGTGTCAGTGTGTTAGTGTGTTAGTGTCCGTGTGTTAGTGTCCGTGTGTCCGTGTGTTTGTGTTAGTGTCCGTGTGTCAGTGTGTTAGTGTGTTAGTGTCCGTGTCTTAGTGTCCGAGTGTTAGTGTCTTAGTGTCCGTGTGTCCGTGTGTTAGTGTCCGAGTGTCCGTGTGTTAGTGTCCGTGTGTTAGTGTGTTAGTGTCCGTCTATTAGCGTGTTATATGTCCGTGTGTTAGCGTGTTAGTGTCCGAGTGTTAGCGTGTTAGTGTCCGTCTATTAGTGTCCGAGTGTTAGTGTGTTAGTGTCCGAGCGTTAGTGTCCGAGTGTTAGTGTCTGTGCGTTAGTGTCCATGTCTTAGTGTCCGTGTCTTAGTGTCCGTGTGTTAGTGTCTTAGTGTCTGTGTCTTAGTGTCTGTGTCTTAGTGTCTGTGTCTTAGTGTCCGTGTCTTAGTGTCTTAGTGTCTGAGTGTTAGTGTCTTAGTGTCTGAGTGTTAGTGTCCGAGTGTTAGTGTCTGTGCATCAGTGTCCGTGTGTTAGTGTCCGTGTGTTAGTGTCCGAGTGTTAGTGTGTTAGTGTCCGTCTATTAGTGTCCGTGTGTTAGTGTGTTAGTGTCCGAGTGTTAGTGTGTTAGTGTCCGAGTGTTAGTGCGTTAGTGTCCATGTGTTAGTGGTCAGTGTCCGAGTGTTAGTGTCTGTGCATTAGTGTCCGAGTGTTAGTGTGTTAGTGTTAGTGTGTTAGTGTCCATGTGTTAGTGTCTGTGCATTAGTGTCCGTGTCTTAGTGTGTTAGTGTCCGTGTCTTAGTGTCCGTGTCTTAGTGTGTTAGTGTCCGTCTCTTAGTGTCTGTGTGTTAGTGTGTTAGTGTCCGAGTGTT